GGGACACACCTTCCCAACAGCTGGGACACACCTTCCCAACAGCTGGGGCCACACCTTCCCAACAGCTGGGGCCACACCTTCCCAACAGCTGGGGCCACCACCTTCCCAACAGCTGGGGCCACACCTTCCCAACAGCTGGGACCACCATCTTCCCAATAGCTGGGCCAGCTGCTTACTAACCCTCACCTTCTCTGTCTTTGCAGAAGTCCCACAGCTGACAGTGGCTGAACCCAAAGTGTCAGTGCTGGAGGGAGAAGAGGCCTGGCTGGGCTGTGCTCTCCAGCGGGGCACACCACCTGCTCAGCTCCTGTGGCTGGGACCCCAGCAACAGCAGTTGGAAGGAAGTACTTATGGGTTCACGCTACACCCTGAGGGTACTCACCTACGCCTTCAAGTCCGAGATGCTGACCCAGCACACCACAGGGGCACTTACCAATGTGTGGCCCGCAATGCCTTGGGCAATAGCAGCCAGAGTGTGCTGTTGGAGATCCTGAGTGAGTGTAAAGGATTTGTGTGCTCCGGTGGCAAGAGATGTGGCTGCAGAGGGCTTTGCAGAAAGCTCTGAAAATCATCCTCTCCAAATCTGGAGCATGACCCAGATGGGTCAGGGGAGTATGAATCTGATGGAATCTTAAACCCAGGCACATAGAATTCCACACTCCCTCATTTTATCAATGAGAAAGTGGGGTTTAAAGAAGCTCGGGGATACACACACCATCCCGTCTCTCCCCTCTGCAAACTGTCTAATCACAGGGAAAAGCCATGTAGCTGTTGCTAGGCAGACTGTCCGTTTGTATCTCCGTCTTCACTCCCCTCCAGGGTACCCAGCTCCTCCTAACGTCACCATCAGCCGACTGACCTACAGGCGACATCGGAGAGAAGTAGAGCTGCAGTGGACCATCTACGGCCCTGGAAATCTGACAGGCTTTCTGGTGCAGCAGAGGGCCAGTGTCCCCAGCTCAGAAGCTGGTGCTTGGGAGGTAGCAGCTAGTGACATTGAACCAGAGAGCAGGGACCAGCGTCTGGGAGGGTTGGACCCAGGAGTCCTTTATGCCTTCCGTATCCTGGCTATGAATCATCACACTGCAGGATATCCTTCGGAGGTGAAGACACCAGGTGCTGGGCTGGCAGCAGGGAGGAACACACTTCCTCCCACCACCCCTAGAAAACTGAAACCTGCCCCATCCTTCCCTTTATAGGCTACCATGCTCCAGCCCTTTGCCTCCATCCTGATGGGTCTCTTAGCCTATCTCTGTGTGCTTCCTACTTGTCCTTTCCTATTGCTCTTTTCCTAACTCTCCTGGCGCAGCTCGGGAGGCCCCAGGCACGGGAGCAGACCCCTGCTTCAGTTCCAATCGGAAGAAACTGGAGAAAGGGTGTGGGATGCTGAGGGTTTAAGAGGAACCCATTCTGTGCCTCAGTCTTACCTCTCAGGGAACAGGAGGGCTCAGCTTCCTGCTGCTTCCTCTATTCCTTATTTTATGGTCTAGTTCCTTCAGCCCCAAGAATGCCATAATAAGTAGTATCCTTATGTATCTTCTGCCAGAAATGGGGATTTGGCTGGGGGTGCAAACCATCATCACCAGGCAGCCAGAACTCCTCTTTTGATGGAAAAGAGCCGAACTCCACATTCCCAGGGTCCCCCACGTCAGGCAGCAGAGCCTTTGGGAGGCACAGGGCACCATCTCTGTACCCTGTGAGTCACTGTTGCCCAAGTTCATTGATGGGGATAGTTAATACCAACCATGCTCTCACCTCCTAGTGGACCCCGCCTTCAGTGCCTACCCAGCTATACTGGGAGCTGCAGGCACAGGAGTTGTGGTGGCAATGGCGACCTCTTTGTTGGTGTTCCAGTATGCTGCCCGGCACCCACATACTTTGCCCTGTGAGTGGGAATCTGAAAGGATGGGTTGTTTGACCCCGTAGGGTGGACAGGTGTAGACCTACCTAAAGGAGAATCTATAGACTCTTCCTTTGCTGTGATACCATCCTTTGAGGTTCAAGACCCCAGCCAGCCTCAGGCACTGGGGTCATTCATTCTCTTTAGGTTCCTGAGACCCTGTATGGAGGCCACTAGGAAGGGGAGGGCCATTTTCCTGGGGTCCACACTGTGTTGATCAAGTGATGCTTTTTCGTTTCTTCCCACAGGTCTGAATCGGCTGCTTGTTCCTATGTGAGTGTGCAACTTATCTTTATGGGGTCTAGACTTCTTCATTGGAAAGGAAAGCTAGAAGTTGCAGATGCCTCTCTCTCTCTCTCTCTCTCTCTCTCTCTCTCCCCCCCCCCACCTCAGGGGGCACGAGCAGCAACAGAGAGCCTCCAGGGAAAGCATTGAGGCCCCAGCAGGTAGGCACCATCTGTGCCAATGACTACACAAGAATCCACTGCTGGTTTGCATGTATGGCGTGTGGTCAGAGAGTAGCCTCCACACCCCAACTTGCTCTTCTCTGTCCACCTGTGCTCTTTCTAGGCACTGAAACAGCTTCTACCACCTCAGGTTCAGACCCTATACAAGAATCCATTGATGCTCCAGTAAATGTCACCATTACAGTGACTGCGACACCGTAAGGTCAATAATGGTGCAGTGGACTGAGGGAAGGCAGGTAGGGTGGAACAACCCCATCAGATTTTGGTCTTAAAATTAAGGTGGTAACTTTTTCTTCCTCACCCAACACCCAGATATCAACTACTTCCAATTCAATATCCAGATTCAAGAAGTGGTCCGTGGCCCAGTTACAGTGTTCCACATGACAGAACATGTCCAGCTTGTGACAGATAGCAGAAAATCTACGACTGGAGACATCATGGAAGGCAACTGAGAACAATTGAAAATGGTACAAGGAATGTTCTCTGATACCAGGGAACTAAGAGTGGGGTTCTTTCTAGAAGAAGAGAGGAGGAAAAAAGGCACTGGGTTGAGTAATCCCTAACTCAATTACAACTTCTGAGCTGGTTGCTTGAGTCATGCTTTATTGGCAAGAAGAGCCAGGTGCCTAGGTATGTGCTCCCTTTGTTCAAATGTAGCTTGGGAGCATCGCTGACCATGCAGCGGTCAGACTCCTAGAATCTGTGCCAGCAGGGGTATCAGCAACACTCCAGTCACCAGGCCTGGGGGAGCTGGCTGACAGAGAGCAGAGGCTGTTCCAAACTCACACTCTGACAGCTGCCAGTGTGAGCCTGAAATCTGGGTGAGGCACAAGTGAGCGCTTGTTTGGCTGACACGGGGTGGAAAAGTCAGAACTCAGAGCTGCTCTGCAGAGGACTCAGAGGAGAAGAAACAGCGACAGAGCCAAGGGCTGATCCGCCAGCAGTATGGAAAGTGGCGCCTGACAGGAGACAGAAAACTGGGAGAAACCTAAGAAGCTTCTTCAGTTCTCACACACTTGGGCCTTATTAGAAAAAGGGTTTCAGCTTTCCTTGCAGCTTTGAGGATGGGGTCTGGGAGTTAAAAGTGGCTTATTTAAGTATGAGAAATGAAATTTAAAAAATGGCCACATCTGACAGCAAGGATTCTGTTGATTTTCTGGTCAGGGAAGATAACTGACTTCCATTAGTCAGGGCAGTGATACAAGTTTCCTTGAAGGTGCTATACCCCATCCTGGTATATCCTGCTCTATCCCCTCCAAGGATGCTGAGGTTGTGATGAAGACACTATGGAGAAAAAGAACCTCCTCTTTCCTCATTTCCCTCCCATCTTCTATCTCATGCAGGGGTCCTGTTGGGGTCCCTCAGATTCCCTAGTAGACAGCTACTGTGGTCTTGCTCCCTCCCAATACTGGCAGTCACGATAAGGGAGACTGGGTCCTTGGGTGTTCACAGGGGCTTTGCAGAGCAACAAGGCGGAGGTTCTGGGAAGTTTCCAAATAGGACAATTACACACTCTTAGTATAAGCCACTCTGTACCCCCAGGAGAGTGTATAGTATCTCTCTTCACAGGCGACTTCGTGTGAAAGCAGCATTCTCTTTTAATATAAAATCATGTCAACCAAATAAAACCTGTCAAAACTACATCACTTAAGAGTATGTACAATTTCACACGTAACAGCACAACTTTAAGGAAAATAAAAGATTTTTTTTTCAATATAGTACAACACAAGCATCTCAGGGTCAATGCTGTAAGAGCGAGCAACATAGGTCAAGGACAGTTCCCAACAGTTCCTTGGTAGTGCTGGAGCTGACAGAGACATGATATGCTCGGCCTGGAATAACAACTATACAAGGAGAACCCAGAAAAAACCGTTTTACAATGAGATCACCCCAACAGTTCAGAATAACACAATTAACCTGTACCCTGCACAGCACCTGTCACCAGAGTCAGCCACATAATTGGTGAACACAACCAGGGAACAATGACATGATTTACTAGGACTAGGGTAGTTTCATGCTAAACAAAGACTCATCCAAACCATGAAAAGGTGTCCCCAGCAGGGGTGGACAACAGCACACATTCTAGACTGGTTCCATGGAGAGTGAACCATAACGCTTCCAGAGAGAGGTAAATGGGGCATGCGTGATGGATCAGGTAAACTGGGTTCCAGCACAGACTCCAGCTCACTCGTGAGCTGGGAATCCCATGCCTACTCTGTCTGCTTGCTGTGGAGGTCGGAAGAGATAACAGTAACAAACAGGGAACTTAGTAAACAATCATTCTTCCACAAATGCGTGCTATCCCATCTCGGAATGACTGATGACACCTCCCCCCAACACATGGCGGCCCCACATTTGCCTATGTCCTCTTGACTCCTGGGGAAGTGACACTTGCTAGGACCATTTCCGGTGACTGTGCAGGGCTAGAAAGTTCACAGAAACTCACACTAAGGAGAACTCAAGCTCCTAAATATAAAGGCAATTATATAGATTTATATTTATATTTATATATCTCAATATATAAAGCCATTTTTATAAATAAAATACAATAAAAGGGTTAACACTTAAAACAGCGTTACTAATCATAAATAAAGCAGTCCACAATGAGATTGCCCCTAAAGGTAAAGGAAATTTCATCTTCCTCATGGGCAAGCCCCATGTCAAATTCAATCTTTAAAAGCAGTTCTGACCTAAGGCTCCCACCAGCATACCTGTTTCATGAGTCACAGTGAACAACTGACTGCCCACAGACATTTGCTTCCTGCCTTCCTAAACCCCTGCTCTGAGCAGCTTTGTTCCAATCCAACTGGCAAAGCACACAGTAGGTCTCTATGCTGTCCTTTGCAAGTCAAGACATAAGGCTACAGCCGTCTGCCTCCAGAACTAATTGCATATTTCTTACACTATGGTCATGAACCCCAGGATCATAGAACTCCCTTCTACAGCACCCCGCTACCCAGCTATGGAATTCTATTTACTGCATTCTACAGAAGCAACTTTTCCGAAGTGGCCTCTGCTGAAACAGCACATTCCCACTAACAGTTCTATTTATAAAAGATACAGACATATGTAAGGGAATACTGACAAATGTATATAGAGTTGATTACTACAGTATCTTATTCTCTTTCACTGCAATTTGTGGGAAACAAAAAACCAAAATGTATCCTGGAATTGTCTGATTCCACATAAAGAGAATAACTTTGGTTTCCCCCCCTTAAGGGATACAACCATTCAAAAGCAGATCTGTGATCTGTCAGGGCTTGGTTCATTTGTAGCACCTGGAGTTTCTATTTCACACATTTTGGATGAAAAGCCTTCCGAAGGCCGCTGCAATGTCCTTGTCACTCTGAGAACAGTAACTGGCTACATGGACCCTGCTGACTGACGCCTGGATTACTTTTTATAATGATGGTGACCAGAAAAACTGTCAACAAATGCCCTCAAACCCTTTTCTTCAAACTAAGCTTTTCCTGACGTTCTGCTGCAGTTTGGATACTATTTTCCAAAGGCCTATCTGTGTGTTCAAGGTCCGATTCCCACAGCAGCTTGTTCCGGAGGTGGAAGAATCTTGAACAGGGAGGAATGTGAGGTTTTCAGATCACTGAGGCACACTCTCGGGTGGGGCAGGGTTGGGGGAGGGGACCTGTACACTCTGCTCCTCTCCTCTTTCTCCCCTCACCTCTCCTTTGTGGTATAAGCAATTTTGCTCTGCCATGCATACCCAATTTTGCTCTGCCATGCATACCCACCAGGATGTGTTCCCTCAGCACAGGCCCAAAGCACAGGTCTATCTGATCACAAGCTAGAACTTCTCAAACTGGGAGCCAAGCTAACCCTTCGTACTTATAAGACAATCACCTCAGGAATTTTGCTACAGTGGCAGAAGGATGGCTTCACACATGCTCACTCAGATCCTCCAGGACACTGTCTATGTTGGAAGTGACAAAAATGTCAGTCTTCAAGTAGTTTTAACACCGCAAGCACTATGGGACAGAGGGGAGAGCTTCACTTAGAGGTCCCTTTCAGCCCTCCTCTCTCTTGAGGCGTGTGACAGCTTTCTCTTTAAACTGTCACTTCAAAAGTCTCATTTTGTACTATATACCCTTGCAAGGAGTGTCAAGAACTCATGGCGACCATTTTGTAAATTAAAATAAAGCAGTGAACCATGAAGGCATTAATTTTCTTTCTGAATCTGGTTCCCTTTCTACATAGTACAATAACCCAAACAGACTTTACATGCTTCCCTGTTCATAACAACACTGGCTAATTTGATACCTAGAAGACTGACCATTACTTATACTCAGGCACAGAGAGAAAATAAGTCAGAATTAGTATTTCTCTGGAAGGCAGTCATAAAATTTGTCAGCTGGGTTGGCTATTATAAACACATGATCACAACTATGGTTGATTTCTAAATGTTCAGAAAGTCTGATGACATGGGAGAAGTGACAGTTTTCATGTAGGAAAGATTGGTGACAAATGTGAACTGGCTTGGACAATCCTCCTCCCCACAACTGAAGAGGCCAGAAGATGGGACCCAGCACAAGTTCCTACTGCCACTGAAGGCCCCGGCAGACACAATGATGCCCCGCTCTCCAGATGATTGAAAAACTCTATAAAAAATGGGGGGGTGGGGGAGGGAGGAAGAAATGGAGAAGAGAAAATGTAAGGCATAAATAATATAAAAGGGCACACATTTTAAGAGACATTCATGACATTACTACTACAAACAATAAATAATGGTTTTCTCTGATTTGATGTCCTTCACACAGTTTGTCCCCAGGCCCGTGTGGCGCAGTTGCTGGCTCGCAGTGGGAACATGAAGAGGCTTGCTCGTGTTCCTCTCAGGTCTCATGGGCTTGCTGAAGGACCACTGACAGCCCGTCTAGAGGGGGGCCAGGAGGAGACCACGCTGTCTTCTCACCGCAGTCCTCCAAGACAGGCGACAGAATAAGAGGGTTCCAACTGAAAACTCTGTTCTCTGCTTCTGAATGACCACTGCTGTCTCCTGAAAAACGGAGATTTGGGTACACTGAAGATTAATACATCAGCTTCATACAGCTGTTTCTGAAAGCAGTGTGTTGATAAAGAAACACACAAAAGTAAGTCCTGCTTAGGTTTGGGTTGAATCTGAGGAAGAAGGTACACTTAAAAAAAATGGATTCTCATGAGTTACTCTGTAAGTCATTTGGGATTAAAATGATGGCCTTAAGACTCCCTATGAAAGCATCTTACAGAAAGGTTATAGTTCCTACAGGAAACTCAAAGAAATGCAGGGCCCATGCTCACAAAATGCATCACCCCAGCAAGTCCTCCGTTCTGGTACTAATGAGTCCACATCTGTCTGGATAACTTCCCACAGTGCAATGGGATTAGCAACCTGAGCTGTCTACTGCTATTAGACCCTGAGTGTAGGATCTCATCCGATCTGAGAAGCTAAGCAGGGTCAGCTCTGGTTAGTATTTAGATGGGAGACATGGTGGGCTGAAAGGTATAACAACAGAGAAGTTCCAAGAATCTCTCTGCCATCTTTATCTTTTCTTCAAGTGCCCAACACTCCCACCCAGTCTTCTAAGGTTTCTGTGAGCCAACCACTGGTATGGCTTTCCTGATACAGCTTCCCGATACAGGTTTCAGCCCCCCAGAGACTAGAAACAGAAGGAGGAAAACGCCTCCCTGTACCTCTGTTCAACTCTGCAGTGTCTTCTGTGGAATCAGAATTGATGTCACTTATGTTGTCCTGGCAGCAAGTATGCTGGGTAGGTCTTGGTTCCACACTGTCTTGGGCACGATCAGGAACTGTGGAAGCTGGACACATAGGTACCTTCATGGCATTGAGGGGCTTCATTTCCAGACCATCCTGAGGATGAGAGGCTACCACTGGGACCACAGGAAGGGGACTGTTGGTTTTGGTGAAGCACCTGCAGAGTTTAAGCCGAGAAACAGAACTGAGTGTTTAGGGGCATCAATAATCAAAATAAGCTTGTTTTAAACATAATGAATATTTCATACTCACTAACCTTTCAGAATTATGCTTGAAAAATAACTAATTGACTCATTAGGATTGGAAATACCAAGACCCTGAAAATTACCGTTGTAATGGAAGATGATAGGAAAATGTACGAAAGGCAAACCACCTAAAGACAGAACCTTCCGTGATGACCCAACCCACATACTTCCTGTACTCCACTGTCAGAAAACAACTCCCATTTCATTACCTAATTCCTAAATACAGCACACAGAAGCGAAACACACCAGCAAGGACTGAGGGAGAGAAGTGCAGGACAGAGAGTTTAGATACACGGCCACCCAAGAGAAATGGCCTCACGACAGTCAATATCAAAACCTGTGAAGTCAGATGACACACTGGTTTCTTTTGTCACTGCTATGACAAAGTCCCCAACAACAACCACTTAACAAAGGAGAGTTCCACTCTGGGTCCAAGTTCAAGGGTATGATGCACCATGGTGTGGATGCTTTGGTGGCAGGGATGGAGGTAGCTGGGGACACCGCATCTGCGGTCAAGAAGCTGGTATTCCACTGGCTTTCTCCATTCTATTCAGTCTGGGACTCCGGTCCACACTCACTGTGGATATCTCCACTTCGGTTAACCTAGTCCAAGTACTCCCTCAGAGACCTGTTCACAGTTTTGTCTCCTAGGAGATTCTAGACCCTGTCACCTGACAGTCAACATTAACCCTCGCATGTGCTTTCCCCGTCAGCCCTGCAGGAAACCGTATAGACTAGCCATTGAGAACCCAGCAGTTTTAAGATTTTTATTTCCCATTGTCGAATTAATTCACTGGGAATTTACCAGTGCTCAACACTTTATTTCAAGTCCATTCTGCTTTTATTTCCTGCCTCCAGCTTCAACCTGGGTAATTTCTGCGACTCCGCCTCCTGGGTCTTTGGTTCTTCTGTTGTCTCTTCCCACCGATGTCGCTCTCACCCTGTACACCCTCCATTCTCACGCCGTCCTTTCTCAGCCCCGAACTTTCTATTTGGATTTTTCTCAGCTGAAACATCCACATGTTCATTTATTTTCCCGCAGGTCCTTGAACATATTTATAATATCTGCTTAATGCCACTGTTTGCTAACGGTGACGCTTGGGCCATCTCAGGATTTGCTTTGACTATCCTGGGGTATCTCCTCAGGAAGAACCACATCCTATGTCCTTGGATGTATAGTGATTCTTTTTCGATCTTGATTCCTCTTCAAATTTTCTGTTTGTTTCACTGTCGGTGAACTCGGTCTTCTCACATGTTCCTTCTTGAGCCCTTACTTTGAGCCTGGAGAAAGCCTTCAGGTGAAACCCAGACTGTCTTTGAAGGAGAGGGTTCTAGTTCAGTTTCTGTCTGAAACATTATTAAATCATCTATATTTTATCATTGCCATCTGCTGAAGATCAAGCTGTTCCTGTTACTGGTACTTTTTTTTTTTAATTTCTAAATTTGGGACTAAGAAAAGTTTAAAACTGAGGCTCTGTTATGCTTTAATGTAAGGCAGGCACAGAGATGAGCAGGTACATGATTGAAATAGGTCATTTGAGAGAATAAAGACCAGAATTCTTTATTTCCATCTTTAACACATGGGAGAGCAGATTTCTGGGACAAAACGAAAAAATTTAGGAAAGGAGTCCGGTTCTGGTGGCTCAAGTCACTGGCAAGACCGGTTCTGAGCAAGAAGATACAGATGAGTCTGAAAGAGAACCACATACCTGTCAGTAAATCGAGTCATTAACTTAACTAAATCCAACTTCTATTTCAAATAAAAAAAAAAATACACTAACTATAGAGTTAATGGATTCAGACATCAGGGAACTAATTTTAACTTTAGATAATATGGCAAAAACATGAATATGGTCCATGTTTTTTCCATACAGGTCTTCGACCAGTTCAGCTGAAGGAACACCAGCTATAGACATGAATACACTGGAGTGAGAACCAGAGCCCTGGCCTGGACACGTTGTATCTCAACAGAGAAGGGCATCACTTCTGGTTTTCTCCCTTGGTTGTTTTAATCAGCTCGGAACTTTTAACAGTGTTCGAATGATCAATGTCTCCGCCCACTTTGCACTTTGTTGTTGGCATCCCCCACTCTCGTACTCAGTGGACCCCAAAGTTCCCCTGTGGAATCAGTCCATGCTACCCACAGACTCTGAATATGTTAAAACACGGGGGTAATGTCAAAGGGGGAAATAATTCTAGTCTCAAACTACTATTCGAGAGAATTTAATGAGTATACGGGACTTCATAAATCCTCTCCTGTGGAAGATCCCTCAACTGGCAAGGACTGTGGTAGGCACTGTGGACAAGGTAAAGGCAGCAGGGGTCCCATTCCCAGCCTAGCAGAGATACGGAAGCAAACAAACAGTTGCAACCAAATGTTGGGATATGGAAGGAAGTGGCGGAGACCTGGGACTTGGCAAAGGGCTAAGGGTGGAAGGCATTGGGATTGCATAGCTGAGGACCTGGCATTAGTATCAGTTATGAAACTGGAGAATTTAAAGAAACTCAGAAGTATCTCTGGTCAGGGGAATTAGAACTGGCTACTGTGACTTACTGGAAGTATTTCTAAAAATTTAAATTCCAGGCTCCTGGCTACTTAGTTTATACCATAATATCTGTCCTGCTAAAAACCACTAAAAGGATAGAAAATTTTTACTTTTAATCTGTTCAAGGCACTGGGAATTACTAAAGTGCTTGTGTGGCTAAGAGTGTAGAGAAAGCCAGCGTGAACCTGATCGTCAGCCTTCTGTTGCTCTTGAGGCACCTGCTCAACTGAGTGCAGATAAAACTCTGCAAGATCAAGAACTGAGAATCTAAGAACCTGAGCTGAACTTCTGGAAGCTAGGAAGACAACAGCAGCCTGCCAAGAGGAAAAGGCCCAGGAAACACACATGGGCTCTTCACTGGGACCCTCAAAGGGCTATATCCTAAAGGGAAGACTGAACAGGAATAGGCTGGGCTTTAACAAAATTGTGTGTATGCGAGAGTGTGTGCTGTTTGCTCAGCTGTCTGTGGAAGTGCACACGGCCTTTTGTGCTCGCCGAGGCTGAGGAGGACATCTGGTGTCCGCTCTATCATTCTCCACCTTTTCTTTTGAGAGAAGGTTTCTCACTGAATTTGGAGCCAGGCTGGCAGCCAGCAAACCACAGCAATCCTCCTGTCTCTACCTTACACAGCATTGGGGTCATAGGGATACTTGAAGCTGTGTCCAGCTTTTTACACAGGTGCTAGGGATTTGAACTAGGTCCTTATGCCTGCGCGGAGAGCATTTTTACTTGTTGACCCATCTCCCAACCTTTAGACAAAGGTTCTACAAAGCCTAAATAAACCTCAGCATTACATTAGTTCAACCCCAGTTGGGCTTCAAGTAATTTGGCCCTCATCCAGCTGTATGGCTACACATAGAGGTAAATCCTTTGTGGAAAAAAATATCTTCTAGCGCTTATACCAGTTTACACGACTTACACAGAAAACAATTCTGCCAAGTATTAAAACAAGAACGAGAGAAAGCAAGTTGAGGATGGAGAGATGGCTCAGTGGTTAAGAGCACTGACTGCTCTTCTAGAGGTCCTGAGTTCAATTCCCAGCAACCACATGGTGGCTTATAACCATTTGTAAAGGGATCTGATGCCCTCTTCTGGTGTGTCTGAAGACATCGACAGTGTACCCACATACATGAAATAAATAAATCTTAAAAAAAAAAAAATCTCCTGGTTGAAGGAAAATGAGTAACAAAAGAGGGTGGTGTAGAAATTTAGAATGCATATTGTCAGTTAATAAGCATCAATTATAAAGCCTTTCAGGATTTTAACTATTTTAGAGCAAAAACGTTTTTAAAAGAAGACCATAAAGAGATCATTAAAAGAAGAAATGAAGTTAAACTATCCCAAAGTGAATTCTTATTTGTTTGTTTAGTGTGTGTGTCTGTGTGTGCATGTGTGAACGTGAGCACATCTGGAAATCAGAAGACAACTTGCTAGAATTGTTTCCCTCTTTCCACCATGTGGATTCTAGGAACTAAATGTAGGTTGCCAGGCAGACATCTTCGCCCCCTGAGTCTATCTTGCCAGCCTCTTGTATGAGTTCTAATGCATATCAGACTCTAGCTAAAGTCATAATGCCCAGTGCCAAACACATAGTAAATGATGTACAGTAGGACTTAAAAAATTTAAAATAAATAAGAAAATATTAGCATTAAAAAATTTTGGCATATATATATATATATATATATATATATTTTTTTTTTTTTTTTTCCAAGCAAGTAAGTTATTAAGGAATAGCATTAGGCTCATTAGTGCAAGACTGTTCTCAGTCCATAACTAACGTGAGGTAAGACACGGATATTAAAGTAGGAGGGTCTGGGGTACTTATTCTTTTGCTGTTTGCATCACAATACTAGTTATCCACCTCTGTTCAATACTGACTTGTGGCTAGATACTTTTTCTGATATCTGTTGACTTTAGGGTTAGCTGGCTTAAATATCAGTCTCCTAGAGGTCAGCCATGACCGTCCTCAATGTCACAGACGCACACCCAGGCGCTCGATCCTGATGGTGTCACATGTGCAAAAGTGAACTTCTGGCTTCCCTTTCTCTGGGAATCTGAAGGTAATGTAAGGTGCTAGGAGACTGAGCTTAGAGGACAAAGAAGGACCAGAAAGAAAAGTTTGTGTAAAAGAAGCACAATTAAGCTGAGGGGAAAATAAAAACCAAACTTGCCAGAATCTGAAAAAAAAAAAAAAAGCAAGGTAGCTCCCAACAAATATAAGCATTACAAATAAAATGAATTCATACAGCAACTGTGAATGAATTTCATCATGCTAAAATAACAAAATGCCAGGGACTCACCAGACAGTGAGAGACCTCTTCTTTCCTTTTTGGTTTCTCTTGTCCTGAGCTCTTCTTTAATTTGAA